ATCTGAAAGCTGAATGCATAAGCTTTCCATTGATGTGTGGTTTGTTAGGATAGGATAGCCAATATTTGGCTGAGATACAACTATTAGAAAATCTGGAATCTGAGGGTGCAAAAAAATCTAAATATTGAGAAAATCATCTTTAAAGTTGTCCAAATTAAGTTCTTAGCAATGCATATTACTAATCAAAAATGAAGTTTTGATATATTTACGGTAGGAGATTTACTAAATATCTTCATGGAACATGATCTTTACTTAATATCCTAATGATTTTTGGCATAAAAGAAAATTTTGAACCATACAATGTATTTTTGGCTATTGCTAAGTGACTTAAGACTGGTTTTGTGCTCCAGGGTCACATATTATACTACAATGTCATTAATTAATAAATTAAGATATTATAATATAATCATATTAGATAATATATTAACTTATGTTATTTAAATGACTAAAATAGCTTATAGACATTGAGCAATAATAATTCACCACACTGCATGATGCGATGACAAATTCAAGCGCACAGCTTCACCTAATTAATTATTAATTTGTTTTGTTAAATCATTTACAATTTGAATAAGAGAACAACACCAATAACTTCGGGTTAAATGGTTTTATTCATTACATCTTAGATCTGATTTTTTTCTTCTTCAGGACACGGGCAGACTAAATAGCACCACAGAAGCAAACAATAAACCATAGAAATGGCAAAACAAAAATTTTATAATTAATCCCAATTTTGAACAATTATGAGTAACATTAGGCTAAAACATACATATGATATCTTGATCGGTGTCAGATGCTGAGCCGACCCAGGACGCTTTACTTTACACCATTGCTCATGTTGTTTAGTGCTACTTATACCTCTTCAGCATCCATAAAGCATCCGCCTTCTTTTACTCATTTTGTCTTTATTTTTGAAACTGATAAACGCTAATTCAGTGAGTGTAAGGCATTGCCTAGCAGTGTACAATGTTAAAACATAAGCGGCATTACAGGCATTATATAGTAGGTAAATGCCCCGTTTTTTGTAAGTCACACAATTTTAGTAAAAGTCAATAGCTATGCTTGCATTTTTATGCGCTTTTCGGATAATCGCATAAAAAACCGCTGGATGGAAACTCCAAGATGCGCATAAATTCTAAAAATGTGCATAAAAAACTTATGCGCACAACTGAGTAGGATAAACTTTTTATCCAATAAGAAAAAATGCGCATAAACGACACATTTACCGAATAAATTCCACCATGCGCATTGAAAAAGTCATGTGACTTTGCGCTACAAGACGGGATAACTTGACTAACCAGCGGACCGATCTCGTTCCCAGCATCTATATGTTGTTCTGGTCGTTCTGAAATGCCTGAGCAAAGTCTGTCAACAAAGTATTTCTGTATAATTACTGTCTTACACGACTGCGTTCCCAAACAGCAGGCATCCACCTCTAAAAGCAATGACCGCATTTATCGAATTACGTCTGCTCTCTGAAGCGCAAGTCATTTATTACATATGAAAATTATTATATTCAGTGACTTCTCCTAGATTTCTTAGAGATATTTAGTGCCAGTTTATCAGGAAGTGACGGTTTTGTTCTCTTTGATTCGTTGGATGGAAACGGTGCTTTATTCGCAAATGTTTTTTATGCGATATTCCAGTTTTGCGCATATGTTAAAGTACTGACTTGGAGACTTGAATGTTTCATTGAAAATCTGTTATGTATATTTGAAAAACAGCCACGGGTAAAATTTACCCCGTGGCAGTTCTAGTGTTAAATGTGAGGTAGACAGTGGCACAGTGATGCATGTATTTTGGGATTGTGACAAAATCAAAATGTACTGGAAAGAGATTCAAAAGATTATTGGAAAGGCTTTTTTATTGTCCCCGAAGGTATACCTTCTGAATTGTACAGCGGATCTGTGTCTGGACTGTGACAAAGAATATGTACTGAATTTTTGTACATATTTGGCCAAAAAATGTATACTATTATTATGGTCAACTGCTCAGGTACCTTCAATCAGTCTGTGGACGAGTCAGGTGACCACTCTTTCATCACTGGAAACATTAACTTATGATTTACATCAAAGATCTGAGGTGTTCTGGTGCATTTGATCCTCTCTCTGGAACTTTCTTGAGGTTACTCAGTGACTATGTCTTTCTAATTTTGGTTTATAATTTTCTTTTATTTCTGTCTTTGCTCTCAAGCATTTGTATGCATTTGAATGTCTAATAAGAACTAGCTGTACATGTTGTTATGAGATACGAGTACCACTGTTGTTTTATTGGAAAATGTTATTTAAAAAATAAAAAAAACATGCATTTTAAGGTTAGACTTTACATTTTTGTTAAATCCACTATTGTATCGATAAAGTTCTACTGTCTATACACAGTATTAAGTTCAATTATATTAGAGAAACGTACCTACTCGAGAGAGTATGCGATTTTTGGATGAGCCACACACACTCACACACACACATACACACGCATACACACACACTCTCACACACACACACACACACACAGGTTTGTTTTTGTGAAAAGTGGGGACATCCCATAGACTTTATACTGTACAGACTGTATATTCTATTGCCCTACACACACACACACGCTCTCTCACACTCACATACACACACACGCATACACACACACTCTCTCTCTCACACACACACTCTCTCTCTCACACACACACTCTCTCTCTCACACACACACTCTCTCTCTCACACACACACTCTCTCTCTCACACACACACTCTCTCTCTCACACACACACTCTCTCTCTCACACACACACTCTCTCTCTCACACACACACTCTCTCTCTCACACACACACTCTCTCTCTCACACACACACTCTCTCTCTCACACACACACTCTCTCTCTCACACACACACTCTCTCTCTCACACACACACTCACACACACACACACAGGTTTGTTTTTGTGAAAAGTGGGGACATCCCATAGACTTTATACTGTACAGACTGTATATTCTATTGCCCTACACACACACACACACACACACTCACACACACTCACATACACACACACACACACACACACACACACACACACACACACACACACACACACACACACTCACACACACACACACACACACACACACACACACA